CAGCCAGGGTGCCGGCGCGCGCGCGTGCAGCAGCATGGCCGTCGCGCCCTGGACGTGCAGGGCCATAAACTGCGCCAAGCTCAGCAGCGCCGGGGGCACGCGCGCGCCGCGCAGGTCCGGAGGCAGCCCCTTGCGGCCTCGGGCCCCGCCCGCGCCCCTGGCCCCGCCACCGCTACTGCCCGAGATGTCACGGTTAATGCGCACGTCGCGCACCACCACCGCCAGCAGCTTGCTCTCGTCGCCCCCGAACACACTGCTCCGCAGACCGATCTCGTCGACGTGCTGCAACACACACGCGGACATACTTCATTTATTTTTAACAAGTTTCTTATCCGTTTTGCTGTTCTCGTGGGAACGCATGTTTAACTAAACTGGCAATCCTCAGTATTTATTAATGCTTTGTTATAACAAATGGGTTGGACATTCTGCAACCCCATTGGCGAATACCCCCGTTTACAAAGTAATAGGATGCGCCATTTATTGTAAATTCAAAATCAGGGTATTTACCATAAATACCCTGATAATAAATTTAAAAAATTAACAACTGAAGGTAAAATTGAATAAAATCTGTAACAGAAAATGTGGAAATTAATTTTCAAGCCACGTACACAGTAGTCCATCTCTAGTCTAAGATGTGTGAATTACGCTCTTTTTTCGAGAATATGAAAATAAAAATATTGAAAACCCCTAATATGTTATTATTAATACAAAACTTTGTCAATCATCCTTACAATTTACACCTAGAAGAAGTTAGTATAATCTCAATTCCGTTTTACAAATATAAAAAAAAATTATAAAAATACTGCAATTTTTGTAATTGTAAAGTGTGTTAGAATTTAATATGAACACGAAAAGTAAAGTATGACATATTATTAATATTTCTACTATTGTCCGGAAATTTTTGACATTTGTACATAAAATGTCACAAATTCTTTGAGTGTAGTATAACATTTGAATAGACATGTTGTAATCTCCTTGTTTTGGAAACCATTTAAAACTGCTACTTATCACATTTGGATGGTCAATATTGACGACTAAAGTAGAGAAGAAAAAAAAGGATACAGTAATTTTTTTAAGCACAAAGTATTAGTGGCCTAAAAAGAAATGTTTCATTTAAAGTTCAAGAAAAGTCATATTTTATGTAGTATTTTTATGCAAATTTGGCTTCATTAATATGTGAGTTGGCAACCTTTTACATGTATCTACAAAAATAACAAAGTCAACACAACAACGACCCTCGACAGGGAGGAAGGAGGAAGAGGAGCCTCACCACGGAGAAGCCGCTGCTGCGCACGGAGACATCGCGCAGCTTGAGCGACGGCAGCGCGATGCGGCCCACGCGCACCTCCACGTGGAAGCGCCGCTTGCACAGCCACGCCAGCACGCGCGGCACTACCCTGCAACAGCACATCATGCTCGCCTCGCATTCGCGCCTATTCCCATACTCCTGGCAGGGGGAAAGGCAGGGCACTGGATCGTTTGTTAACGCAAAGGGTCGCTTCTATAAAATCTGTAAAATAATTATCTGCGGACCAGAGATGTTATAGATTTGTAGTAACAGGGGTTGTTACTGCCCAATACCAATAAAATAAGAGATTGATGAATATATATATATATATTTGTAAATAAACACGCACTTAGGTCCTTAGCGACGAATAATCTAAAAATCAAATAATGACTGCGACCGTAGCAGCAAACGTTCACCTAGAGCCAATAGTTGGGTTTTGATTTTTTCGTAATACTGTTCTGGTTAATACGACCACTTCAATTAAGCCGTCTCCTCAATTAATGCCCATGTTTTCGTGAAACCAATTGATTTTTTTTTTTTTTTCACAAGACACGAGTCGAAATAGTCCCTCCCCTACCTGGATAGGTGGCCAACGACCGGTTACATTTTGTGGAGTAATCTTATGGATTTGAAATGTGTTAAAATAAGGAGAGGAAAATGGTAGAGATTACTGTTGATTTAATATCTTCCTCCGATAGGACACATTGTCACACTACTTGGAGAAGATATATCCAGAATTGCTTACGTCGCAGGGAGATTAATTTCTATTTCAGATAACAACAGCCGGTTTTAATATATCTTAATTAAACAACGCGTTTCAATTCAGAGCAGTTCTATGGTTCCTTATATAATGCTCCCATAACTCTTTCACAAAAAGGCCATGTTGTCTAGGTTCTACAAGATGTGAACAGCGTCTTCAAGTCTAGTTTACTTGTTCGATTCCGTAAGGACGGAAAGTGAGTTTACGACTACGAGAATAAATGCCAAGTCAAATATGTTTTGATATTAGCCGAAAAGAGGCAAGTGATTCAAAATGCCCTGTTTCATTGTATTTAGTCATTTATGGCAATTAAAATGTTAAAAAGAACATACATTTTTAAAGCAGTGAGCAGAATTAGATTTGATTTACTCTTCCAGTAACCACATAACCTTGGCAGACCTCTATTACTAGCCATTTGGTGTGGTGTGTGAAACCACTGGTCTCCACTTAAGACATGTTTCGCTATCGATTTAACGCACCGATTTAACAGAGGGACAAAAACTCTCTTGACGGTCGTCTCCTGTCAAGGATTTAAATGTGTGTCCTCCGTTAAGAACAGTCGAAATAATTCAGTTGTTACTAAAAATTATACTAAGTACACTTAGAAGTCATTCTACTCATATTTTTATGCATTTTAGGAAACTACAATATGATCACAAACTTTATATTCAATGTCATTGTTCATTCATTTAAATTAATACTATATCTTCATTTGCAACTAATATTTTATTAAAAAATAATAAGTTTTCTCTTAAGTAGTTACAGGTTTAAGAGGCATCGAAGTATAGCTTACAGCTCTGCTTGCTTTAGAATGCCATCTGATCCGAAAATACAGTTCTCTAGCATGTTTGCTTTGAAATCTCCCGACATTTCTTTAAATAATCAACTAGCAACACTTTCAACTATTTGATCACAGACCTATCCACCCAGAGATGAGGCTTTCCCACATAACATCAAGGCTAAAATCTTTAGTGATACAAATTATTACAGAATATTTATTTATAAATTTTGTAGTTTTAAAATGGTAATTATAAAATTAAAAAAAACAACTGTGTAAGTCACATGATCTGCAATCCGCTTAATAAAGCAGCATCGCTATCTTTATAGCTCGTAATTATCCTTCCCGACTTTCCTTAAAAATTGGTAACAAATATTTCAGTGAACTGTCAACAAGTACTAATTTCAATACAGTTTAACACCATTGCGATACTCTCTTGAATGTTTTGTTTCCTAACTTTTCATAATGCCTTCACTTCATTACTGTTATTGATGTCGAACAAAAAACGGACGAGACTGAAATTTGAAAACGGAGACGGTAGCGTCATATAAACAAGAAAAACCGTTGTTTTGAATTGGTGTACTCACTTCATCTTTCGCTACAACTCATTCATTGGTTTTGATCTGATTCGATTTTGTTTTCTTGAAAAGTGGTGTTCAATTCATACCTTGCGTTGATATAATAATTAACGCCTTATCCACTCGGAACTCTCTACAAGCGTTACAATTGTTATTTGCATCGTAGACATAAATAGTCTAAAGCAGAATAAAAATAATAAGTTAACGAAGTCGTATTTTCAGGTTGATTTATTTTGTTGTTTGGAAAAGTTTGAAGAATGTGGTGAGGGGTAATTTTATTACAGACTATTCGATCATTCGTCTGAAAAATGCGCGTTTAGTTCAGCTATCGTATCATTGCCTTTTTAGCTCATACGAGTATACGATTCGTATTATACCCTCACTGGTGCGTACACAATGTTGCGTATTATTTTCCCAAAAATTATTTATAGGAGGATTTTGTAGCACTTTAAAGTTCGGTAGATCGATCTGAAGTTACTCCTGTAGATTTTAGCTGAAAATAAGGGGCAGTTTTTTCTAGCAAAGAACAACCGCGGACTTTTGATCCAGGGAAGAAGGGTGATATGAAGTAATTACACAGTAGTAATACATCATGGGATCATCTTGGGAAAACAAAGCTCACTGATCATATGCGGCCCGGTTGCTCTTATTGCGAACAATATTTACATGCTGTAATTCTTTAAATGCTTTTTGCACATCTGATCATAGATGATGTTAATTTTAATTTTCAATTCTCGATATATTTTACAAAAGTTTCATTTACTTTAACTCACAGGCAATGCAACTAAACATTGGAAATGACGCTCTGATTTACAAAATGTTTTTAACTTTTGTCCCTGTATATGTTATTTAATTAAGGCAATTAAATTCCGAAATGATTATGCACTCCGATCCCAGGGTCGAGTACAGACGTGAGCAGGAACGCTTTCCTCGTGATTGTCCATTTGTCTCGTGCATCTGTAAGAGTGTGAGAATCTGTAAATGAGTCAATAAAAGTAAATGTTGATGTCTAAAGAAAGATGGCAAATGTGCAGGGAGCATACCTCTACCAAAGATGTCAACGACTCAAAATGTAGCATTTGAACTTTTTTTAATTATACAAATTCCACCATAAAAACCGAATATGTACTACGAGAGAATTTATAAATTCCTCTTTGAAATTTGAAGGCTGCCCACCATTATCCACAACGAGGCAGCTTTGAATTTCAGCTTCATTGAATACTTTCATGAAACTAGTTAAGCTCATTCAAATTAGAAAGACTAATTTAATGAGGTAATCAAGAGCTGTCAAGGGGAACTGAAAAATCCAATGTTCATCAATAGTGAGGCATTTCACGTATATTTCCTATACTATTCCTAGACCAGATTAGTAAGTACAGTATAATCTACTAAATGTACATTAGTTCACAAATCAAAGTTTTCAAAATGAAATTAATATGTTTCAAAAACACAGATAACAGAAAGTACATAAAAAATCGGAAATCTGTTAGTTTCAAGCAAATGCCCTTAACTTAAGCTAGAGCAAATGACTCCATTGGTTTCAATTTCTTCACCCATACAAATCTAGGATTATGAATATAATTGGCAGGCTATGAGATGCCTTTGAACAGTAATATATTTTTGCAACCATTGCTCAACATTTTCTGCAAAACTTGTGAGAAGTTAACTGAATGCAAGCGTAACAAATTTTAAGGCAAAAAATTAAAGCTGTAAATAAATAAATGGTACAGGGGAAAACAATGTGTGTCAACAAGTGAAGAAAAGTATATGAATATGCTATTTATGAACAATATATACCTTTTTCTTAAGGGTATAAGGTGTTTCTTTGGGGGTAAAGAAGTAAAGGTGTAAAAGAATTTGTTGATTATTATAAAGTTTTTTGATCATAATGAAATCAATGTTAAACAGCTACCAATTGCAATGGAATATTTTGTTTAACTGAAAAATAATGAATTTCATTTTTTAATATACAGAGTAAGAATGAATGCCAATATAATAAAATGGTATTACATGGGTAATTACAATGCGGCAAGGAATTGTTTCATTGTTCACTAATCACATCTTCAAATGTCAGTTGAAAATATTGTGTGACAGTCACTTGTGTTTTCTACTGAGACACATTTAATAAGAAACAACTGTCAAGTGACTGTCACACAATATTATTTTATGGCAGAGCTTGTGAGATTTCAAACAGCACAAATGAGTAGCATAGAAGAGAATGCACAATCAATTCACGAAACCTCAAGAAAGAGACTTCAAGGCTGACGTAGTGAAGCAGAAGAGGATTATGAGTATGACGTTAAACTCAGGAGGGAGGTTACAATTAAGTATTTTTATTAACAATTTTTACACTGACTAAAACTTATACTTGGCAGAGTTAAGCCTTGTAGATGAATGCCTCTCTAAAAAAGATGAAATAAACACTGAGCAAATTAAAGACAACGGAAAATGCAGTGCCCATTCAGATTTCCAAAAAAATCCAATTCCATAAATAATAATACTGATTGCTAGGCTGAGAATATTAAATAGTAATATTGCGGACAATAATTCATTAACAGTTGTCATTTAATATTCAATATCGTGTTTGCTATTGCATTATAAAAAATATATATTAAAATATTGCTCTTGAACATAACTGAAATTGAGGAAGCCTTATACAATATATAATGTATTATAACTTCTTTGAAGTGTGCCATTGTATCTGCCAATAAATTTGACTACAGATCTGTTTTTAACTTTAAAATATTATTTTATGAAGAAAATATTATTTGTTCATAGTAATTGTGGTATTTTAAACAGAAAATTTGAAATGTTGAATGAATAAATATAACAAAATATCATGCAACCTAGGTTCATACCTCTATTTGGAAATAGGGATCTCAATTGAAACCAATCTTGCATTCCATAGTCATGGAACATAGATGCTTTTATTTGCCATAATAATTTACTGGACTGTAAAATTTACCTTGAATATTATAATTATTCTGCAAATTCTAATACTTAGGAAAATATGGAAATACTGACAAACATATCATTTGGCATGGCTACATGCATTTATATAATTCATCAAATAACAGTATTGCACACACAATCACTGAATTATGAAGGAGTAACTATGATGTAATTATACACCCAATACATTATAACTGGTACATGCAAAATACACAATTATTACATGCAATTAATTTCCTTACAAATGTCATCAATTATAGCACTTAACAAAAAATGACAATTAAATAAAGTTGTCATTATCATAATTGACCTCTGAATCAATGTCATGAATGCTTTTACATATCTTTTACATCAAACTTTGGGAATTTTAATATATTTTTTATGGAGAGGAGGCTGTTAAATTTAAGCATTCCTTTGGAAATCTGATTTTATATTCATTCTTCGTCTTCAATCCATTTAAATTGAAGATTCTCCATAACATTTAAGACATTATTGTTGGTTTGGCTTTCCTTGTCCTTATTTCAACAAAGTAATTTAGTATAATGCAAGTCAGCATTACAAACTTGCAAGAGGTAAAGAAAAACACAAGTGTTTGTAGAAATAAATTGTCAAAATTCAAGTAATCTCTTTGAAGTGTACAAAGTATGCATGAACGCAAATGTCAGAATGTATCTGCTTTGGGCACAAAATCCAAATCCATGAGACAAATTATAATACATGTCATTCTAGGCATAGTAACGTAAGATTGTGGATATCTTAAAAACAATTTCCAATTTCTCTGACTTCATTTATTATGAATGAAATGTAATGAATCATTGTCATGACCCTCAGGAAACTCAGTGAAATATGACTTTACTCAAAAGATTACAGTATTTTTTCTTTTACATAAATTTAATAACATAAGGATCTAATATTTGGATGTATTGAAATAGATGAAATGTAAATGAAACCAAAATTTAAAAAATACATCCACATAGTTATGAATCAATGATATATGGCTAAGAATATTTCACTTTAAAGCCTAAGTAATATTACTTTTCACAACAAATTCGTAATCCTAATGACCTAAATAATGTTTGTATAATAATGCGAGAAATTTTGTGCAGACAACACGAACCGGCACATTCCTAATAAAAAAATTGCTCTTTTAATGACAACTGTAACTAAGGTATTGCAAGCGTCATTTATGTTTTTCCTTAAATTGGAATTGTAAACAGTAATCAACAGTTGACAGCTGGTAATGAATTGTACCATAACACGTTACATGCTAAACGTGTATGTGAAATTCGCACTAACAGATACAATTTAAACGAAACAAAACCAAAACACAGCAATGATGCATTACATGACTCAGAGTTACGTAACTTTTTGGCACAAATGCAGCAATGTAAACGTAGCACCTGACATATCAAACGTGACAAATCGAATTTAGATATTTTTCAAGAAAAAAATTGATTCACAAAATATGTTTCATCAAATAAAACATGTGTTTACACGTACGTAAAAAATATGAATTAAATTATTTAATGACGTTTTCTAAATACAATGACATGCTTTTAAGAGATTTCACCCTTCACAGGACAAGAGAGGTTAAGTCACTTACCATGATATGCCACAATACAGGAGCGTGCAGATGATGACAAACGCCCCAAAACCATTCATTTTTTACTATTATTAATATTTTACATCATCAACACAAATTATAAAAACTAGAACGAAATAAAACGCTAAAAGACACGATTTCATCGGATCTAAAACATTCACAACCGCTCGGAAGCGCAGCCATCACAGTGGTTTGCGATTGCAGCGCCGGCCGCGCCCGGTGGCTGACAGCCACAGCAGAAGCCGAGCCATCGCAAGAGCAGACCGTCTCCATGACAACGAGACGCTTCAAGTTTGGTTTGTACCAGTCAGGGTGTTCCGCAGAGTGCATGGACAAGAAGATTGATGGTCGACAACACTAACATTGAGGAATATTCTTCTAGCTGATCCTACTTAATGTAAGTATGAAGAAAAAAGTATGAGAAGCTTTATTTTTTGGATTGTTTCAAATATTGTTACAATTGTAAATAATCTGGTTGCAGAACACAGCATACATATTATTCATATACTTCCCAAAGTATTTTGGAGAGATACTTCGTTGCGGAGTCAAATTTAATGAATTTAACAGAAAGTGAAGGAAAGGAACAAAATGTATTAAAATACGTCAGAATGTCTTATCAATAAGCATCTTCAAAAAAATATACAGAAAGGTGTATCACGTCATTCAAGAAAAATATTTTAAGGCATCGAAAACTTATCTGTCCGATAAATTCACAAATTTTGAGTAAACCGTATTTTTTATTCCATATTAGTGATATCTTACAGTTCGTTCAAAGTAGAAATCCTAAATAAATTTGTCCCAATATTTAATATCGCACTTACTAAGACGACTACCGATCATCATCATAATAGCATCATTATCATAACCTATGGAGCCGTCTGATCTGCGTTCAGCAAGTCATCTAAGCGATTACACGGCTTCTTTGAAAACCAAAATGTGTTGGTGTGTGCAGGGGTGTGGCGATGTCGGGCACAAGTAAGACGGGCCTGCAGTCGGCGGTGCGGCGGCGGGTGGCACGAGTGCGAGCGGGAGGAGGAGGCGGGCGAGCGGGGTCGGGACCGGCGCCCCTCGAACTGTCGGCGGAGGTGCGCCCGGCGCCCTTCGTGCTTCGCCCCTTCGCCGGCGTCTACAACCCCTTCCCCTACGGCTGCTCCGTGCTGTGCAACCACCCGGCCGACTGCGAGGCGCGTGACGTCGTGCGGCGCGCCAAGGTGACAACCTTTGTCCCGTCACTTGCGCATGCACTCGCCAGAATGAGATGACCGAAAAATGAAAACGATTATAGGGATTTAACGGGAAATACAAGAAATTGTAATGTTATAGCCTTCGCTGTATATTACCGCGGAACCGTCACTGACGAGCGCTGCGTTCGCGCCGGCGCATGTGCTCTGCAGGAGGCGTGGGGCGCGGCGGGCTGTGGCGTGGGGCTGACTGCGATGGGCGGGCTGCTGCCGGGGACGGCGCCCTACGCGGACGGCGAGCCCGCGGTGCCCGAAGCGCTCTTCCGCCGTTACACCGACACGGATTCGCGCCCGCAAACGCCCGCGCCCACGCTCGCCTCCACCACCGGCCCGCGCTCGCGCTCGCGCACCAGCGGGCCCGGCGCGCCGCGGGCGTCCGGCACGGCCAGCGGTACGGACGACACATGTCTTTACAAGTGTAACGATGTTTTTAATATTGATTAATAGAATACGATGTTTTAACGTCGGTGATTTTTTTCTTGATGTTAATTTTACGATATCACCGCAAAAAAAGAACCATTGGTGTATACCAGATCCATGATACTGTAACAAGTTTCCTTGTTACAGTATCATGGATCTGGTATACTCATGTTAGAATGTTAGTGTTACGATGCTTTATTTTCAAATAAAAACAGTGCATAACAAAAGAACTGTCATAATTTTCACGTATTAGTCAGTAAATTGAACATCCTTTCAAATAAATGGTTAAGTGGGAAGTGTCTGATATGGAGAAGGAAATACGACATTCTAGCAAAGTGTCGTTTTCGGATATACAACGGAACGTTATTCTAATGAGACAAATCGCAAACAAATTGGAGAGATGACATCGATGTCGATGTTCTCATAGTATCAATGTGTGTGTTTTTTTTATAAAAACGATAAATGTAGTATATTGTTTTATATTATCCAATTTGATATAGAACGTTGTGTTAATGTTCTCATTTTTTTACTTTGTTTTAACAGGTAAATCTTACTCAGCCATTCTCAAATGATTCGCTATCCCCCCAGTGAACACTAATGTTAGAGGTTATTAAACCAGTTTTACTTCCATTCACCTTTAAATACATCGATGTTTTAGGGGTGATGTATTATTAGTAACGATGTTTGAATTTTGAACATGCATTTACAATCACCCGTGTCTTGCCGCCACTGCCTATTCCTAGGCGGAGGCGCCGGCGTGGCAGCAGGAGGTGGCGCAGGGGCGGGGGCTGGCGGCCGGCGCTGCGTGACGCCCGACGCCGCGCTGCACGCGCTGCAGGGCGTGCGCTGCGGCCGGGAGGAAGCGCGCCCACTGCTCGTGCTGGACCTCCGGCGCTCGCACTCGCAGGTGAGCGCAAGGAAGAGTGAGAGGATGTGACCCCAGCACCATTGCCTTCGGACAGCTTTGGAATATTCTGGCGCCCTGTGCATGCACTCTGTTCAACATGGCAATACTGTTCTCGCTTCTTAATGCTTCTTCGAGTATTATTGCTAAAGGATCAAATTAGAACAGACAGACATAATAATATAAGTAGCACTCGGAGCCAATGATTTCTCTCTTAAGAAAATATAATACAATTTTTGCTGTATCACGAACGTATTTTTAATCAGATATTTGATGGCATTAAAATTAACAAATGATTCACATTCGTTCCAATAAAACCATTCATTTATATACTCGTAGAAATACTCACGTGTTAAGTCACAATTGTTTGAACGCAGTTGTTAAAAAGAAGCTAGTATGTTAGGAAATTTGGTATACTTCTTCGTTCTAGGACCAACGCCATGGGACCAGTGCCATGGTACCATGTCCACTAAATCCAGCCGATTGCCATTTCCATATTTACGAATTTAGTAATGATAAATCTCACAATGCTCTAAGTGGTATCAAACTTTGATGTCTCCCATGTTGTTGTTTTTTCTTCCTCGCTTTTTTCTTTTCTATTTTCCCACTATATTTCTATATCATCTGGGGGATATAAGACAAGTCCATTTCGAATATTGATTTGCAATTGGTGGGGTAGTGCGTTGTATGACCCGCCTGCACTTGCGTCGGTGTTAGTCGAGTGTTTGGTGCACAGGAAGCGCTGAGTTGGCGCGGCCTGGGGTCGGCGGGCAGCGCCGCCGGGGAGCCCGTGTCGCCGTCTCCGGCGCCGTCCCTGTCTCCGTCGCCGCCGCGCCCACCGTCACCCGCGGGCGGCGCCTCTTCCGCCAAGGCGCGGTCGGCAGCAGCACG